TAAAATAATTAAACTATCTTAAATCTAAATTTAATTAAAAAATAAATATTAAATGAATTTAAACCTAATTCTAATATTTTTGTATTTTTATTAAGAAAATATTTGAATTAAATAACCTATTTCTAATTGATTTTAAATTAATAAAAGCAAGTCAAAATAATTAAGTTAATTAATTTATAAAATTAAAAATTAATTTAAGAAAACCTAAGTCTATTATTATTATTTTTCTGATTTTATATTATTAAAAAAAATGATTTTTGAAATTAATAAACAATAAAACAAATAAATGAAAAAAAAATGGGTCTGATTGTCAAAGCAGAAAAGGGGGGGTGCGTTTGAAATTCGCTAGGCCCATAAATCAATAAGCCCAAGGTCCTGCATGATCAGGTGCACATCAACCTTGAGGTCACAGGGTGGAGGCGCACTCTGGGCTGTCTAAATCTTCTTGCATCACATCTGATGGCCCAGATGCAAGGTCTATGATATGCGTAGGAACCTGCACGCCACTGGATCTGATGGCCCAGATGCAAGGTCTATGATATGCGTAGGAACCTGCACGCCACTGGATCTACAAAGAAGATATGAGAAAAATGGAAAACTCAAAACCTGGGATCGAACCCAGGTCCTCCAGCATAATACATGCCACATTCACCACCAAACCAATTAATCATTCATTATCTCATATAAACAAATATATATATATATATATATATATATATATATATATATATATATATATATATATATATATATATATATATATATATATATATATATATATATATATATAATCAGTTAGAAATATGGAAAACATAAAAAAAAAAGTGCGCTAATTTGAATGCACCAGTAGGAAGGAGACGTGTGGGCGCCAGAGTCAACCAACTCAACAGTGTCGGAGTCAAACTCTAGTCACCTTCTCTGATCGACCAACAACTTAAACCTGCGAAAATGTGAGATTTGCAAATGGTTAAAGGGCCTATCCTACATAAAATCGAGCCTTGAATCCGATCATGGCCTTAAATTGGCCTGAAAGCAACTGTTTCGCCCAGATCGAAGCTTAACAGCTTCAAAACCCTATCAATGGCAAGCTGTCTTCTAAGCCTGAAAGCATACATGTTTTACGTCAAACATGTCTTATGCATTGCTACAAACATGTATGTAAGTATTAAATCTGTTAGTAACACATATTTAGCAAGATTGAAATTAAAAAAATACCAAAATGGTGCAACAGTGACGTGCTCGATCTGGACGTTGAAGCGCTTGTATGAGGACTGAGCTAAGTTCCTGGAAGCCTCAGGGATGTGTTTGAATCCTTTGTTTGGACCGAGGAAGGCTTGAAATGTGGTTTTGGAGTTTGACAATTTTGGAGAATTTTTTGCAATTTTTTCGTGGCTCTTTGAGGTAGTGTGTATCTGTCCCTTTGGCTTGCAATACTACTCTGTATTTATAGAGGAAGGAGAGAAGCAAAGATGGGAGGAAATCACAGTGTAATGGCAAGGCTTAAATCTCAAGATATCAAATTTGAAATATTTCCAAAAATGATCATTCTTGCCCATTTTATTTGGGGGATGAACCTGGACATCCTTGCACGAATTTATGGGCCTAAAATCAATCCAAACCAATAGCACAAGTGTCATGATCCATCATTCACTATTTTATACAATTTATCTTGTATTTATTTGAATAAAAACAAAATAAATAAGAACAAAATAGATAAAAAATGCAAGGCAAGGTAAGAATTAGTTTATAGGTCTTCCATAAGGTTAGGAAGATGTTTTAATTCCAATAAATTAAGCCATTGACCTAAAAGTTTAAGTTTGTCCAATGCACAATTCTTGAAATTTTCCAAATTTTCCAAAATTGGGAAAGCCATAACTTGCTCAATTTTTATCCTATGATTATGATCTTGGACTTTTTGGAAAGCCCAAGATGTCTACTTCAATCCATATTTTTATCAATTTTGCATTTGAATAATTTATCTTGATGTAAATGGTCTTGACAAAAAGTACCTTTTGTTGACTTTCTGAAAAATGACCTGTAATGTATGAACTTGTATCTTTCAAATGGTGCATTTATTGAACTTGAGGGAAAAATATAAGTTTTAGGGAATTGGATTCTATTCAAAATGAGCTTTGGTTGGGGAAAAATGGATGATGTATGTGAAAGTTATGTCTGGTCAAAGTTCAGTTGACTTTTCCTACAGAAACCCTAATTTAGCAATTCTTGACTTTTGATAGTTTAGGAGCATTTCTTGAGGAATCATGATCAAACCTTGATCAAATGATGGATATCACTTCAAAATATTGATGTTGACCAAAAATCTTGAAGTTTGACTGTATATATGCTACAATTAACTTTTGACCTAGCACAACTGATTTTCAAGCATTTGAGCAATTGACTGAGCAAACTTGTAGTGGAAGGCATGAAATTTGTCATGGACAATCTTGAAGGCCTATTAGGACAATGGAAAACATTTGAGACCTTTGAAGCTCACATATCTTGATGAAAAGTGAAACCCTAATTGGAGGCTCAATGCTTAGGAGGAGAATTTGTCTGGTCAATTCTTGGTCATCCTTGAGCAATTGGGAATCTCAATGAGCATGTCTTGAGTAAAAATAGGAAGGAAAATTTTGGGTTACAACACCATGTTTATCCATTTTAGAACAATAAATATGATTTCACAAAATTATCAATGACTTGTAATATATTGAGATAAAATTTGATGATGGGAATAAAATTATACTTACCTAAGTCTTTTGAGATATATATGATCCCATTCTTTATAGTATAAAAGGCACTACCACCTTAGAGAAGTTTCATCGGTGGTTAGAATAAAAAATTATACGAAACTTAAAAACATAAATGTTAAATATAATGGAGTTGGTGTTGGGACAGTTTGACTTAAGATGTTTGATAATTGAGGTATGTTTTTAAACTTAATTGAAATTTAATATTCATAATATGTTTGCTGATTTTGACTGTTGCACTGGAATATGTGATGTGTATATTTTGGATGGTTTCATTTTTATTGAGGTTATGACAAGTTACCGAAAGAAGTTTGATTGAACTAACTAAATAAGATTTGTTAGGTAGTAAGAGATTGAATAAACGAGAACTTTATGATCATTGCATACTAGACAAACATAAAGAAGTAAATTTTATAAGTGATATAAGTAATTCTAATAGACAATTTAAGTATGTTTACTCGAATGTTTAAGTTTGGGACAATGATTGATTAGTTAATTGAGATTTGAATTTGGATATAAGAAAGGTAAAATTTGTCCATGTCCCGCCTTATTGCCATGTTTATCCATTTTAGAACAATAAACATGATTTTACAAAATTATTAATGACTTGTAATATACTGAGATGAAATTTGATAATGAGAATAAAATTATATTTATCTAAGTCTTTTGAGATATATATGATCCCATTCTTTATAGTATAAAAGGCACTACCACCTTATAGAAGTTTCATGGGTGGTTAGAACCAAGAATTATACGAAACTTAAAAACATAAATGTTAAAGATAATGGAGATGGTGTTATGATGTTTGATAATTGAGGTATATTTTTAAACTTAATTGGAATTTAATATTCATAAAATGTTTGTTGATTTTGACTGTTACACTAGAATACGTGATGTGTATATTTTGGATGATTTCATTTTTATTGAGGTTATGACAAGTTACCGAAAGAAGTTTGATTGAACTAACTAAATAAGATTTGTTAGGTAGTAAGAGATTGGATAAACGAGAATTTTATGATCATTGCATACTAGACAAACACAAAAAATAAATTTTATGAATGATATACGTAATTCTAATAGATAGTATAAGTAGATTTACTCGAATCTATAAGGTCCGACAAAAGTGGTCAATCATACAAATACTTTTTATTTTTATTCTATCCATCTTTCCTCTTTCATTTTTCAAAAATCTTTCATTTTCCCTTCTCCTCAAATCTGAAACCACAAACCTTCAAATATACTCATGGCAGAGGCAAACAGACATATGTTATAGATAAACGTGCATATGATCTATCGTTTGGTTTAGTATTCGCCTTCATAGATTTGGTGGATTAGGGAAAGTGTTAGTCGATTGTGCATGGTTTAAACTATTTAACCAATTGCTTAAAATAAAATAAAAAGTAATTTATTTTAATATTAATATATGAAATTAAACAAAAAAATTTGTCAAAAATTGAATCACTTTTTGATTTTAAAAAATAAAACCTAGATTTTATATTCATTATTGTAGTTTAATACTTTTGTTGTTTTAAAAATAATATTTTCCTCATCTCCCATTTTTATTTAACAAACCAATAGAAGAGATAATAGTAATATTTTCTTTCCAAGTTCACTCATTAATTCATAGCATAATAATTTATTTAGCATTCTCCCCTTGTCCTCTTTTTCTTTCTTTTTATCCACTTTCTTTCTCGATCCACACTTCATTTTCACTACCAAACATAATGCATCAGACAAGTTGTTGTCATCTACATGAAGCAATCTATTAATCAAATAAACCATAAAGTAATTGAAACACTTTATAGTCCAAAAAACTATAAAAATATTTTTACATTAAATTTCAATGATAAAATGGGAAAAACTTCTAAGGCACTTCTCAAGAGTGAGAAAGGTCAAATGGAATAAAAAAGTTAGAAAAAAGTAGCCACATTAAAAAGCCAACCCACTCAATGGATCAACTTTACAATTTACAGGTTGTTCTGCTTTTTTTTTTCTTCCAATGGAAGTAACCAAATAAAAAAATTTATGCAAACTCTTAAGAGAAAATGTTTAGTTTCCTGATTTGTAATTTTTTTTTCCCAAAACCACATTCTTAGACTATGGAGTTAAACAATTTGTTGATACTCCTTTTGATAGCCTCTAATGAACTATTTTTTCCTACTCATTTCTTCTTAAAATTAATCGAAGAAACGAGAGTCGAGGGAGAAATTAAGTGAATATTAAAGACATTTGATAGTGAAAATTAATCCTTCATTAAACACTTAATCCATCGAATCCACACTGCTTGTAAGTGAGAGATTGCTTTCTTGGACTTATTGCTATTGCACAATCCACCGAAACCTGTGCAGTTGAGTTCATAATCATTAATCCATGGTAAAACATAGCTTAATTACAATTTTTTAAATTAATATAAAGAAGAGAAAGATGAATAAAATAGTAATTTAAAGGGTACAGTTTCATTGCTTAAAATACAAAAAAAGAAAGAAAAGGAAGGAGTAAAAATGCATGTTCACACTAGTAGAATGATGATGCCACAATTATCAACCCATGTGCCCCACAGAGAGGACTGTCACATGGTGAAGACTTTACTTGTCCTAAAAAGTTTAAGGCAAATTGACGTAGTGTTTTTGGTTAATATTCTAAACTTGATTTTTGAAGTTAATCTAACATCCTATAGTATCAATTGTGATCATAAAAGGGAAATAAATGGAGAAAAAAATTAACCATGCGAATGACATTATTGAACTTGAGCTGGTGAGAAAGTGTGTAGTGGTTGGTAGTATCCTGCCTGGTCTTGGAATCCAGCTACCTACCCAGTTCTAATCAAGTGGGGCCTAACAATTTTATCATATTATTTGCACCTTCTAATCATTTGGGCCCTTAACATTTACACTCTCAAATAGTACTACTTTGGTATTTTTGGATCCCTAATTCCTATTCCACTTCTACTACAAAAAAAATGCAAATCAAAGTTGTGAACCCTTAAAATTAAATATAATATTATAGTCATCACACAAGTATAAATTGATATTCAATAATTTTTTTATAATAGGGACTAGAGAGACTAGAGGGAGTATCGTTATAGTAGGCATATAACAATGAAGCTACTGGAATGTCTTGCCATTGTGCCACCAAAATACAGTACTAGTAATTGATAGGGAAATGGAACATACTTGTATGATACGACTCATAAGTGAAAAACAAAAAGGGAGTACCAAAATAGCATATTTCAGTTCAAAATTGAACTCAAAGTTGACAGGACTTGGTATAAGTTGCTCTAGAAAATTAATCTATTAATTTAAATAAATCTGATTAATCATTCCATTACTTAATTATCATTAAAAGTAATTAATGAATAGTATTTATATTTTTGACATGTTTATTATTTTTTAAATAGATTTCATTTTGTCTCCAAAATTTATTTTATCTGAAACTACAATTTATAGATTTTCAAAATAATTTTCACTAAAATTATGCATAAATGTAGTCAGATACAAATTCACAACTAACTTTTAAATATACTCAATTTAATAAAAAATAAATAATATTTTTAGAATAGAAGAACAAATCATACAAAATTGGAAACAACCGAAATGAGGTTACACTCACTATGCACACCCTAACATAACCAAATTAATCCTTCGTAGGTCCCCAAAAATTCCTCACGTAAAAATGATTCCTTTCACAGACAAATATCGGAAATCACAAAACAAAATAAAATCAAATAAAAGTAAAAGAAAGATATATTATAAAATATCCACACACAAAACAAAATAACTTTCGGCTCACATTATCAAAAACCAAAGTGCACCACTAGAAAGCGCACATTAGCCAAAAGTAAAAAAACCACCGCTACACTCATTCGCTCTGGAATGGAAATTGGCTTGGCTCACTCAACTAGCAAAAAATCGATATTGTTTGTTAGGTTATTAGTATTAGTATTATTAGAGTTGGAACTGTGAACTCTGATACTCATGATTATGAAAATTCTCAAAATGAAAATAAAAATAGAATAAGTACCTGAACACCAGGTGAATCAAAATTCATGACCCGGATCTTAGCACCAACATCACCCAAGACCCGAAGTTCGACCCGATCATTCAAGGAAGCATCTCTAATCAAATCAGCAGCATCAGCTTGCAACAAATTAACCCTATCAACCCCAATCGTAGCAACAACTTGTCTTACGCTATGCGCATCTTGATAAAATCCAGGAACCGAAGCTTTTCCCAACGGAATTCCGCGGTACATGACAGTAAACCTGGACTCTCCGTATTTGATTCCCACCTTATTAGGATTAACCGCCGTGAAAAGAAGACGAATGGTTAGGGAGAGTGAAGCGGTGGTTCCGGAAGGGTTGTTGGGGGTTATTCCCATGTATTGGACTCCGACTTGTTGGAGATCGAATTGTGGTTTCTTTGGTTTCACGGCGAGGAGGACGATGAGGACGACCGCGAGGACGAGGAGGGCGAGGAAAGAGAGGAGGAGGAAGAGGCAGCAGCAGCAGCCTTTTAGGGAGGCGGAGGAGGAGGAACGGGAGGGGGTTTGAGGGTAGTATTGAGGGTGGTGTTGTTGATGCATGTAACCGTTTGAGTGTTGCGGTTGCTGTGGTGCTGGTGGTCTTTGTCTCCGATCGCCGCCGTTTGATTGCGGTGGTTCGTTGTTTCTGGTTGTCATTTTCTCTCACTGACTCAGTTTGTAGGAAATGGAAAGAGTGACACTGGTTTGGACTTCTTATGAATCAGACTTCTTATTGATTCTCAATTCTCAAAGTAAACACAAGAAAATTATAAATAAAAACAGAAACATAAATAAGGGCGTTTGGTCTTTTATTTATTAAATTTAAGACAAAGTCTTTTTTATATTTTAGATAACTAGTTAACTTAGAACTAGTACTATTTACTAGAACTAAAATTCTTACTAATTTGGTTTTAACACTATGAATCTATGATAGTAATGCTTTCCTTATAAAGGATGTTGCCAAAACTAAACTGAATTTCTTAATCCATTCAATGATATTTTTTTATCTATCACGTAAAATTTTATAAATATTTTATAAAATTAAAAATATATTTTTGGTGCACATTTTTTTATAAATTAGATTTACATAAAATCAAAAATATATTTTTCATAAATATTTTTTAAATCAAAAATATATTTTCGATACACACTTTTTTTAAATTACATTTATATAAAATCAGAAATATATTTCTAATAAAAAACCAAAAATATATTTTTTTGTTTCTAATAAATTTATTAGCTTCCAGAATAATCTCCTCCTCACTATCTGTTCCAAGCTTCCTATAAACTCATGACCAAAAACAGTTATTCTTTAAATTTTATATTTTATTATTCAGTTTCTTTATTGTGTTTATAATTTTTTGAACTTTATGTTTTTTCTTATAATTTAGAATTGTTCTGTTAATTATTTTAAGAATGGTTATGAGCCAGAGTCTTACAATAGAAATCAAGGTAATAAATCGATTGTAATTTATAACGGTGATAAACAGAAGAAACATATTTACATCATTTTCAACGGTATTCTCAACACTGTCCAAATAATTCATTAATCTCATCTCAATGAACAGTAGCATAAGCACTTAGGTGAATATATATTCTTTATTAAAAACCAAAAATATATTTTTGATTTTTTATTGAAAATGTATTTTTGATTTTGTTTTTTTTGTCTTTTGAAGAGTGAAACTATATTTAACATATTTTGTAAAAAATATGATACATGTTAAAAATATATTTTCGATTTTCAAATTTTTTTTTTTAAAATTGCATAAAGAATTTGTTTTAACCATAAGAAATTCTCAAATCAAAAACACGCTGCCTGAGGTGAATTTTAAGCTACACCACACCACCACATTACAAAAATGGTACTCTGACATCTTTGTGGATCTCATCTCAATGTCATATTCACACTAGGTTTGTGTTTTGTTTTGTACCAACCATTCATGTCAAAATCAATCTTTAATTTTAGGATAAATAATTAACTCTATGTTAAAGTTTAGTTTTTGGAAGAGAAAAAATATTTTTACATACATAGAATTGAATTGGTTTTAGAATGATTTTGACGTCATTGATTATGTTCAAATTAAATTTATTTTCTAGGATTGATATTATTTAAAGTTAGAATTTTTAACTTTTATATATATATATATATATATATATATATATATATATATATATATATATATATATATATATATATATATATATATATATATATATATATATATATATATATATATATATATATATATATATATCACTTTACATTTAATTCTCTTTTAAATAAAATCAATTATACAAAAACAATTCATTTAAAATCAATTAACGTCAACTCTTGCATAAAATCAAATCACCTCAAAACCAAACACACTAATTATGTTATACTAATCCTAATATTTTTTAGGCATAACTCTAATGTTAAAAGCATGCATTTAGTTGAATTTCTACATAATTAATTGTTCTCCCTGATATAATCCACTTGTTAATAAAATAAAATAAAAAACAATTTTTCATCTCACTCTTATTATATGCGATGTCTCTCTAAAAATTCGAAAAATATTTGTGAGTGAATTTAGAGATACAATTTTAAACGCACAAAATACTATTTTTTTATATAAAATTTAGTTCAAAGATGTATGTCTGAAATCACATTTACTATAATTAATTTTTCTATCACTTAGTGATAATTTCATAGATGTATTTTTGAAAATATCCAGCTTGAATTTGAATATATGAACATCTCCCTCACTTTTCAAACACTACCAAACACCTACATAACCAAAAAACTCGTGAAAAAAATCTCTTTAACAATCAAATTTTCGATTCAAAATCATATTTTATGCATTCTAACATATCAAAGGGAGTATCATAAGCTGCAATTTAAGGTAAAGTTCTCTCATTTCATCTCTCACTGTTTGCATTGATATTTAGTTTGAGCTGAAAAACGTTCGCCTAGTTTGAAAAAGTAAATAATGAACTGATCTACATACACTATTTCATATATGTATTTCTGAATTCAACTATTACTCATTTTTAAATTTTTTGTTGTTTTACATCTTACTAGATATAATTCACTCATATATGTTTCTCAAAGTAGTTGTACGCGACAATGTAAAACATGATGTAGTGAAGGATGATGTTAAACCAGTTGAAGTTAAGCATGATAATAAATCGGTAAAAATGAAATATGATGTTAGAGTGATACAGATAAACGTTGGTCGGTGTTTCATCAATGAACAATTGTATACTACTCGCGAATATATATTTCAATGGGTCTGTATGGTAGCTAGGAATTTGGGGCTTGGCATTGTAATTGGAAGGTCCGACAATAGTTCTAATTAAAGACAAGCATTTATAACCATGACATGCCAGATAAGTGGGACGCATGTTCCCCCGATTCGAAAGTTAAAACGTGATAACACATGAACGAGAAAGTATGGTTGTAAGTTTAAACTACACTGATATTGTAGCATCGATGAGATGTGGAAATTTATTGTGCTTTCTGAAACACATAACCTTGAATTGCAAACAAATCTAGTCGGTCATCCCACCGTATGTCGTCTTAAACCGGAGGAGAAGGAAATTGTTTGAAACATGTCTTTAATCAGAGTTGTGCCAAAAAACATATTTGCATATTTGAAACGGAAACACCCAGAAAGTGTTTCAAATATCTAGCGGATATACAATCAATGTCATAGAAACAATATGGCGATAAGGGATCCAAGATCTAAAATGCAACAACTTTTGAAATTTTTGGATGAAAGCTAATATGTTTTTAGGTGCGCAGTATGTGATGATAAAGTCAATGTTCATGATATTTTTTGGACTTATCCCAAAAGTATCAAGTTGCTCAACATATTTTCTACTGTACTCATTATTAATGTAACATACAAGACCAACAAGTATAGGTTTCTACTTTTTGAAATGGTTGGTGTTATTCTACGGAGAAGACTTTTCAGTGGGATTTGCATTTTTGGAATTTGAAAAAGAGGTCAACTTACACGAGCCTTGGAAGTGTGCAAGACTTTGTTGAAAGATCAAGAAAACATGTCAAAGGTAATTGTCATCGATAGAGACACCACACTAATGAATTTGATTGCACAGGTGTTTCCTACATCATATGTATTACTTTGTCGATATCACATTACAAAAAATGTGAAGAGTCAGCTAAAACCCATTGTAGGCACAAAACAAATCAAAGGTGATAACGACAAAATGGTCAAACCAAGTGTGGTGGTGGAAAAGATTATGGATGCATAGACTGATATATTGAATTCATTCACTGAAGAGTTGTATGTTGCCTCCGTAATGCAATTTAGGAGCATGTGTGTCTGATATCCAAAATTCTTGAAATTCGTTTAGAGTACTATTTTGGACCAAGTGAATGAAGATTGTTTGTGCATGGACCGATCAGGTTAGACACCTCGATACTACAACAAGTAACAAAGTTGAATCAACACATTCAACATTGGAGAAATAGTTGGGTGATAATAAGGGTGATTTCTGTAGAGGTTGGGATGGTGTGAACCAAATGATCCAAAACCAACATTCATAAATACAAATCACTTTTGGTCAAAGCATAACGGTGCAAGAACATAGATTAAAAAACAATATTCTCTATTCATAATTGGTTAGATGTGTATCTCGGTCGCTATTGGATTTCATATTTTAAAAAAGCGAACCGAGCATAATAGTCTGATACGAATTCCACAAAGTGTGGATGCACAATTAGGAAAAATTATCGTCTTCCATGTGCTTGTATCATTGCAAAAAATTAAAGATTAATCCTCTGATATGTTTGGATGAAGTGTACAATCACTGAAAAAGACTTTGGTTTAATGATGATGGTGTGATGAAGAATGATAAATTCGATATAATCATCCAGACCAAGTGGAAAATAATCCAAGATAGAATTGCAAAGACGTATGACACCATTAAGTTTCACATCAAAGAGCGATTGAGGAAGATTACATATCCGAAAACTATAGATTTAAAACCTCATTCGCAATCGATTAAAACCAAAGGTGTCCCAAAAAAGGTAAAAACTGACTTAAGATGACAATTCAATAAAGCGGCTTCCATCGTAATTTGAACATGTTGATTCATATTTTCCGGATTCTCCAACTTCAAAATCTCAAAAAAGTGTTCAAAAGAGTGCTTACATTAACAAACCACCTCAACTAACTCCACCACCACATCCACCACATTCGATGCCCGAGATTGAATTCATGGATGAAATACGATTTTTATGCATATACACATTGAGCGGATTGTGAATATTAGGGATGATGGTAATTATGGTTATCATGTTGTATCTGGATTGCTTGGTAAATCAGAGGAGGATCACTCACTTGTTCGCATCGCATTTTTAAAAGAGTTGATGATGCACATGGAATCCCACATGAAGTTATAAGAATCCAAAAAAAATGATTCAATTCAAAGTGTATTTGTTCCTTGTCATAGTGGTAAGGCACCATTTTCAAAATGGATGTACTTCCTTGAAATGGGCCACCTGATAACAAGTGCGTATGACAGAGTGTATCGATTTGACAAGATATAGGTAATTGAAGACATTTTTTCCATTACATAGTGGTTCACCTAAAAATGTTTTCTAACGCGTCGCGTGGATATGGTTTCTTTCAAAGACACTACATTTTGTT